AGGACTTCAGGAAATATGTGATGAATGAATGAACAAATAATGACTGTTTAAGGCTGGAAACTTTTCATGCATGTTTCCCCAAAATGTCAAGTTTGAAATTTTAATGAGGAGGTAGGGAACTGGACTCATTTTGTAAGTTATGTTCTACTGCACAGCTTTTTCTCCCCCCTTGGCCTACTTAAAATCTTCTAAACTTTACAGGGGCTCAGTAAGTGGTAAATTCCTTCCTGGCACGAGCACGGCCCATAGTCCTCACTRGGATGGCTTTAGATATTTGTGCTCCACATACCACATGAAAGGGCAGAACCAGCCTCAGTCGGTCCAGTGAGAAGAAAGGGTTAATATGTGGGGACTTGGCTCAGTACTGTCCTCATAACACATCCCTGAGGAAAAACACAAGAAAAGGGTCACTATTCATCACAAATACTAACTCTAAGGAATCTGAAAGTAATGGGGAAGATTCTGCAATTTAAGGAAGAAGAAATAAAGTAAGATTCCACAATCCCTTAGGAGGAGCCTCATTCCATGCACAAAAACATACATAGGCCACCATCAACTTCAACATGTGAGAAAATGTTGACGCTGTTTAAGTGAGCAATCTAACTTCATGCTCTAAATAAATCACTTTATCACAGAAGGTGACCCAAGCGGCAGAGCCCTTCAGAGGTAACAAATTACAAAACAAGTGAAGTTTTATTTGCAGTCTGCCTCATTGTTTCAGTTTTTCAATCAATACTACTTCAAACAACTTATCTGAAATCAATTTTATCATTCCCAATAATGCAATCCACAATTTGGGTAGCATCATATCATGGTTMACTGTTATCAAAAGGACGTGGCCAGCAGGGATGGTGGCACACACCTGTCATCCCAGCAACTTAGGAGGCTTAGGATGGCAAGTTCAAAGTCAATCTCAGCAATGGTGAGGTGCTAAGCAATTCAGTAAGACCCTCTCTCTAATACTATTTAAAAAAAAAAAGGCAGGGGAAGGGGGGGCCTGGTGATGTGGCTCAGTGGTTGAGTGCCTCTGAGTTCAATCCTCAGTACTAGCACTCACCCACCCACAAATAAAAAAAAATGACTTGGCCAAGCCTCACTAGCAATCTAGCCATTTGATCCAGATCATCTTTCTCAGGCTTTATAAAATGCAGGTAATAATAGCACCTACCACAGAACCCTTTCATTAAGGTGAAATGGAAGAAAGCATAAAAAGCATATACTTTTTGGTAAATCCAGCAGCTCAGGAGGATGAGGCAGGAGGATAGTGAGTTCAACCTCAGCAAAAGTGAGGCAATAAGCAACTCAGTGAGACCCTGACTCTAAATAAAATACAAAATATCGGGCTGGGGATGTGGCTCAGTGTTCAAGTACCCCCAAGTTCAATCCCCAGTACCCTCCCCCTCCCCCCAAAAAGCATTCTTTCTAAGATGCTAGCCAACAGGAAGGGCTCAAATGAAGTCTGCTGCTACCATTGCTCCAACATCGTTGGTTTCTGACTTGTAGTACTTAACCTAATAGAGTTAAGAACCTTAAAGAAGGAGAATTTAGAACCATCAATTTGTCTCTTAGAAGTTCTCTTTGAAAAAGAGAAGGAAATGGGGAGGAGAAAGGTAAGTTGAAAGAAGGGAGAAGGGAGAAAAGGAGAGGAAAGAAAATGCAGAAGAAAAGACTAAAATAGAGGAATGATGTACAGGTAGCCTGTCTTTCTTCAGGCTCTAGGAACTTTGAAAACAGAAAACCAACTGTACTTGCAAATAATGTCTGTAGTTAGAAACTGCCAGGCAAATCGTTTAAAATCTTCAACTAGAGAAGTCAAAACACATTCATGTCTAAAAACAGAGCAGAACTTTGTCACAATAACTTCAAGTTCAAATAGCAAAACCTATACAGTTTCTTTTATAAAAGTCACCTCTTCTATTTCTTTATTCTCCCTCCCTAGCAGGATATTTAAATTTTATGCATACAATTTCCCAATGACTTGAAGCACATCCTACCAATACTGTGAATCTCCAAAACATATTTGCATGTTGGGTGTCTTTTTTTTATTTTACTTTGCCATTCCCTTCAAGAATACCTAACATGGCTGATTTAATTGTAGAACAACAGTTTCATTAATGATCAATAATAAATTGGAAACTTGTTTCAGATAACTATATTCATCCAGTTATTTTGTGAATAAACCTCATAAAAACCATGAAGGAAATATAAGAAGGCACAAATCCAAGTGACAACTGATATGTAAGTTGATCTCCCTTCCTAGCTTTATTAGCTCTGGCCTTCTGACAATAGGCACTTCTAGAAGGAAGCCTAGAAGTCCTTCAATTCTTTTGTCTAAAAAACAAAAGACCACAGGGATATTTGAAGTCAGCTCCTACTCAAGGACAGACTAAATGTTACTCCCAGTATTCTGTGTCTTCTACTGAAATGCATACACATCTACAGGCTGATTTTCCCTTTCTTTCAGTTTTTTATTACTTTCTTTTCCCTCTAAAACCAAAAACTCAAATTTAGAATCACAGATAGAGATGGGTATAGATCAAAGAGATAACTAGTTCCACTTAGTTAGAAATTGATCTACAAGATAGCCTTTTTAAAGTATTTCCTGTTGGTAAAGAGCTCTAACCATGAGAAAAATCTTTAAATATTAATTTCAACTGAATGTATGCTGTGTGCTGGATCCTTTGCTAATAAGAACATTATAGGGGCTGGGGATGTGGCTCAAGTGGTAGCGCGCTCGCCTGGCATGCATGCGGCCCGGGTTCCTCAGCACCACATACCAACAAAGATGTTGTGTCCGCCAAGAACTAAAAAATAAATATTAAAAAAAATTCTCTCTCTCTCTCTCTCTCTCTCTCCTCTCTCCTCTCTCCTCTCTCACTCTCTCTTTAAAAAAAACAAAGAACATTATAAATATCATCTCAATTAATCTTCATAACAAAACTTTGAAGATGGGGTCACTGTGTCCACTGTAACTTTGGAAAAACCAAAGATCGTAGGTAATAAGTAACTTGCCTGAAGAGACACAGTTATTAATTGAGAGAGCTGTAAGAAAACCCCAGGGTTTACCCAAGTGTTGGCCTCACAATTGTTACAGGCCTTAATTTTGATTTCTGTCACCACTATGCTCTAGGATGGCCCTTCAAATATTCAAAAACTGCCTGGGAAGCATTTGGCCTCCACTGGGCTTTCCACCACCTTCCTCAGTAGAATGGAGAAGAATCTGTGAGCTGATTAAGTCCACATCCCTACCTAGAGGAGACCTAAGAGTAAAACCAAGGGGAAATCTGAATGAATCCACCTGTTCCATGTGCTTTTAGCTACTTGCTTTGATGACCAATTTTACAGGTCACATAGCTAAGCAGTATAACCCCATCAGCTTTGCTATCAGAAGCTCCTCTGATGGATGGTCACTATGGTAACAATTGTTTAAGCAGTTTTTACGTGGAGGCTACTTTAATCTTTCTTAAACCAGTTGAAATTGCCAACCATTTACTGGGGCCTACAACAGTTGTCTGATGGGTGAGAACCTTTTGACTTCAGAGGGCCAAAAACCCCACGCACAGATCATGCTAACTCTGCCATTTTCTGTATGTGCTTCTAAGGAGCCACAAAGTTTTAACAATACACAAGCAGCTGACCAATGAATCTTTCCTTGCCTCCAGTCACCTTCTCTGACACCTCAAACCATCCTGCTTCTTTATCCCATAAATACCCCTGAGCCCTATCCAAGGGAAGTAGATTTGAGATTTGGGGCTCCYACTTCCTCAGCATAGGCACCATGTGAATAAACTCTCTTTTGCCAAACTTGTCATTTCAGTGATTGGCATCCTGTGCAGTGGGCAAAATGGGGCTCACTTGGTAACATGTTCTAGTCAACTTTTTTGCTGCTACAACTAAAAGATCCAGAACAATTTTAGGAGAGAAAACATTTATTTAGGGGCTCACAGTTACAGAGGTATCAATCCCTAGACAGCAGACTCCATTCCTCAGGGCTCAAGGTAAGGCTGAACATCATGGAGGAAAAATGTGACAGAGGGAAGCAGCTCACATGATGATTAGTTAAAAAAAAAAAAAAAAAAAACACAGAAAGAGCTTCACTTGCCAGATACAAAATATATACCCCAAAGCCAAGCCCCCAATTTCCACCTCTCTAGCCATGCCCTTCCTGCCTTTAGCCACACTCAATTAATCCCATCAGGTGACTAATTCACTGATTGGGTTAAGGCTCTCATAGCCCAATTATTTCTTCTCTGAACCTTCTCACACATGAGCTTCTAAGGGACAKCTCACATCTAAACCATAATATAACAAGGGTAAGAGGGAGAGCCAGACATCCAGTTTCCCAGCAAATACTTCATGCACCCTATCTCTTCAGAATCACCTCATCTTCTAACTCCTTGACCACATTATCCCATCTTTACCCACATTTCTTAGTCACCCAGGAAGATTGCTCTTCTCCATTCTGCTGAAGGCCCCATGACCAACCTAGAGAAGAATTTGTGAGCCCTTTAAGTCCACACCTTTACAAGGAAGGGGACCTAAGAGTGAAACCAAGGGAAAATCTGACCAACCTGGAGCCACAATTGCCCTCCAAGGCACACAGCAAATGCCCTTCTATAGGAGCCGGGAAAAGGAACCCAGGACAATCTCCATTTAGAGCTTACTGCTTACACATGGGCTTGGAAGGAAGTCAGTTTACAAGACAAACTGCTCGAGTATGACATGCATTTAATTGCCTCTGGGGCAATCAGAAAGCAACATATCAACTAACACAAAATCAAGGTACAAACCAGCAGCCAAGTTCTGACAAGAAAGATCTCCAAAGAAGCTTCTGCAAAATGAGATGTGAGAAAGTTGGTGTCAGATATGTCTAGTGGGCACCACGGAGAGAAAGATACCARTGGAGGAATACGGAAATGACTGCAAATGACTAGGAGGTTACTTGAGGAGAGAAGGTTCCTTTAGAGAGCCTTTCCGTAACATGTGAGATTCTTTTCTACCTGAATTGACCAGTTGCTGTTCCATCACCCCACAGCCAAGAACTTCTAGCCATTCTCCRTGGAAGTTGATCTCCATCTCAAAGGAAGGATGAGTAAAAGGAAAGTAGCAGTCCACCCATCTTATCTCCAACCCTGCAGAGATGACAAAGAAAAAAGAAAGAGCATCATGAGGCAGTCTACCCTTTCTTGGGATCAAATCTGCCCTTCAGCAAATGACATCAATTACTACATTCTGAGTAAAATAAATAGYAAACAAACTAATTTGCAACATGTTAGGGTAAGGCAATAAATCTTATAACTTGTGAATAACTAGGCATGTCTTTCCAGATATGAAAAGCACTCTGTGAAGTTCTGGGACCCTCTAAAACCAAATCAATCACTTGTCAATTTCGGCAACCATTTGGCAAAGGAAAAAATTAAGTCCAGATCATGAGAAAGCACACAATTCTCTCTAATTTCTAGAAATGAAAGTGACACCATTTCAGAGTTTTTAAAACAACTATATTTTTGCTATACTATCCTCCAAACATGCATACCCACTGATGTAAGAAAAATTATGAGATATCCTATACTTACTTACAAGGGCCAACAGATGGAGTATGGGTAGAGATAAGAGAAGTTAATCCGTTAACATTTGCAGGTGAAAGCAAAACAGACTGTTCCATTTGCCTGAATGTACACTAAAGTCTTGACTTAAATCCCATCCTGGCCAACCACCAGGGCTCCTGGTCCCCTGCACTCTGTTTTAGTATAAACTTTCTGGACTCTSAACCCCCACTCATGCAGAAGCAATGGTTACTTCTCCTATGGACTGCCCTATCATCCCAAACCTTTCTCAGTTCAATGTAAATGACAAATATCTTCCTTACTCAAATCCGCATGATTTAAAAAAACAAAAGAACACTTATAGCTCTGGTCCACAGGACCTATTTCCAGCTGCCATCTAGCCCTATTTTTGGTAGTTTTAGGAAATTATTCCAGGATCTGGTCCTTTTTTCTGGTTAACATCTGCAATGGTATTATTATTATTATTATTAGCAAAAAAATTTATTTAATAAAAGAAAGACTAGTTCACTTAAAACAGTGAAAGCCTGCAAAGATCAGATGTCACTTAAATGCCGAAAAACCATGTGAGAGGTCACCTGGCAGCTCCATGCCCATGTTCCAGAACACAGAAWGTGAGCATTTGCAAATCATTGTGCTCCTTGCCCTTAGTGGCAGGGCTTTCTTTTTTTAGGCAATTCTAAGGCCTTGATAAAGGATCCAGTTTTCAAGGATAACATAYCCTCCCATAGGAATCTAAAATACCACATTCTCAGTCAAGACTATCCTATGGAAATTAGAATGTGAAATGAATAAAAACAATAATAAAATTGCTTCTATCTATTGAGCCTTTACCATCCCATTTCACAAATGGGGGGGGGGGGGAATTAGAGAGGTCAAGTATCTCACTCAAAGTCACAAAACTAGCAGACAACTGGCTAAGTCTAGGTCTGTCCACTTCCAAAATCCAGATGCTGACAATTAAAAAGTAACTCTCTGTATCTATGAATCAAAATTCAGATGACAGTAGAATTATGAGACACAGGTCTTTTCCTGTGCCCCAAATTCCAAAGAAGAAGGTTGATTTTTTTTTCTTTTCAGTTGCACTTATTTAGTTTTAGTTGCATTTATTTTCCTAGCTACCTGCTATCTATGGCAAGCATTTTAGTTTATAATAGTAAAATATTTTCTTTTTATTATATATGAGTATAATAAACATTAAAGTGCACATGTGAAAAGTACAGAATTTGATAAATGTTGATAAACATATACATCCATAAAACTGTCACCATAATCAGGATAATGCCCATATCCATCACCCTCAAAAGTTTCCTGTGCCCCTCTGTAATCCTCAGCACCCAACTGCAGTCCCCACTTATTCTCCAGGCCTCCCAAACTCCCAAGAAACCACAGATCTCTTCTGTTGCTATAGTCAAGCTCGCATTCCCTAGAATTTTATTAAAAAGGGAATCACACAGAACGTAATGGTCTTTTGTCCATCTTCTTTCACTCTGTATATTTTAAGATTCACCYATGTTGCATAAAACTATGATTCATTGCTTGTTATTTATTGCTGAGTACACTTTGCAAATACTTTTTTCATCTGGGAAAAAAAGATGACCCAGTTGCTGGACACTTAGGCAAAGTCCACAAGTTACCCAGGCAGTCCAGACTTTTCTGTGTGAAGCTCATACATGAAGAGCAGTTGTTTATTTGCAGCTATATTTGAGAAGGTATTTGTACACCTGTGTGTCTGCCCTTCTTTGGGACCAACAGTCCCCTATCAATATTTTCATAAAAGCACCAGAGACAATCCTGCTAGCAAACAGAAATGTGTGAAGCYTTAGGACATAAAACTGAGAGCAAAAGGACCAGGAGACGAAACRATTTTGAACATTCTTTTTTGTAACTCCTGGCAAGTATCAAATTATTTTAYGAAAAGAGTTCAGAAAAACAAATTCTATCATGTAGCCTTTTATACTGGTTTGACTTTTGCCAAAAATAGCAACAGCACTAAGGAATAACATCATAATTTCTTCATCATATCATTAAATATCTAAGGGCTCAGAACAGAGTAAGTGCATTCTGCACCAGTTAATTTCCCTGTATCAAATTTTTAAAATTCCTTCAAATAGGCTAAATAGAGTTTAGTTTATATAACTTTACATCTCACACTAATAACATCTTAGATTCCCCCAAGTGTGAAAGAAAAATTTTCAAGACATTAGTARGCACTCAAAATAGTCATTTATTGAAGCTGGGAGCAGTGATAGTGATGCACGCCTGTAATCGCAGCAGCAGCTGGGGAGGCTGAGGCAGGAGGATCACAAGTTCAAAGCTAGTCTAAGCAACTTAGCAAGGCCCCAAGCAACTTAGCGAGACCTTGTCTCAAAAAATAAGAAGGGCTAGGGATATGGCTCAGTAGTTAAGCACCCCTGGATTCAATTCCTGGTACCCAAATCATCATCATCATCATCATCATCATCATCATCATTATTTCATGTACTGATTAAAGTCATTCCATGATCAATCATTTTAAGTGCTGAATACCTGCTGAATACTGTCTCATGGGAAGTGAGGTCTCCATAGAGACAGGACCCTATTTACACAACATCTGTGCTGGTGCTGATGGGACAGAACAGCTTACGGATGAACTGGAAAGTGATGTGAGGCCTCTTCCCCTCTCCAGAAACTTTTCTTAATGTCTTTTACTGAGGGCATTTGCTTTATTGCTTCTATGATTAGGAAACAAACTGTAATTTGGGGCTGAAATTATCTGCAATGTTGAACAAATTCTAATGACAAAATGTCCATGTTGCATCGACCATTACACTTCTGGTTTAAGACCTTGGCCACCACAGCCCTCGGTTTCGTTGGGCTCAGTCATCCTACAGGTGTCTCTTCATAGCAATGAAAATAATTGCTCCACAGTGAAAACTACACACAGCAAAGCATGATAAGGCAGGGARGCGAGCCAAGTATTTCAGGACCAAGGAAGATGATAAATATTAATGATAATATGGAACAGAACCCATTRATAATAAAATAAAAATAAAAAAGGAAAACACAGATTGTCCAAAGTTGTGTATTRTGAGACTGGGTGGTTTTTAATTAATTTCACCCCCTCAGATCCTTTGTTAAATTTCCTTTTTAAAGTCCATATGACCCTACAAAGAATGCCAAATCCATACACTATTCGTTTCYTTTGATCTACTACGTTAAGAACTTCTTCAGTTTTATTTCCTTTATATAAACAGGCARAAGTCTAAACTGCCAAACACCATTTTTGAGCAGTCTAATGGCTCTACTTCAAACAAACAGTAATCATTTGAAAGCAAATTATATCAGTTAATGTGTAATTTTGGCAAAAATACTATATTATTTTATGTATTCTATTTAAATTTCCATGATATTGACACATTAATGGTGGTCATTTTTTAAATTACTACAGTATAATCATTCATTGAATAGCCCCCAAATACCTTTTCCTTTTTTTTTTTTTTTTTTTGCGGCAGGACCTCAAAATTAATGTCTTACTATATCTGCTTAAAATGGCATCTTAACATGCTTTTGGCATTAAACTATACCATACTAAGTAAATATCTCAAAATTGTGACTTATTTCCCATGTCAAGTATCAGGAGTCGGTAAAATGTCCATAAAAATTATGTATTTTGTGTTTCATATTAATAAAGGGGAAATTTTAGTAAGCATGTCCACATCACATGAATTCATTATTCATTAGGCTAATCTGTTTTTGGGRTTACAGAGGAAAATTAAACACATGTATTATATATCTAGTGAAAAATAAGGCTGAAGTTTTTTCTTTTTACTTCTTTTTGGGGGGAGGAGGAGAAACACACTTTAACAAATGAGCAAATCACATTTACAAATGAGCTTAAGGCTTTCTATTTCAATTTTCAGCCTAGGGTCAGGGAGAAGAAAATCCAACTATAAATTCAAGTCTCAGATTTCCACCATTTTTCCTGTGAAATTATGARGACCCCAGCTGCCTGACCCCTACACTGTATATAATGACAGCTACTTCACACAGTGATTTCAGAAAGGACCCTGCAGGAAGGCAGGTTTACCTAAGAGGCAGAGACCTTGGAGAGACCTGGTTTCACTTCTAAATGGAGATGCTGAGTTTGTTCAAGGATGAGTAGGCCCCAGTGTCTAAAAGCAACCCCTAAAGCAGGACCTCTAAGGTGGCAAGTAGACATTTCTTCACGACAGTGATATGCACCCACACAGAAGATGTGTAGCAAGAACTCTGATTCCTTCTCAACTCTGGCAGCCACACCATGAGGACAAAGGGCACAGGGAAGGCTGCAGAGCATCTTGCCCACCCACACAGTGTACCCGCTTCCCAACTTCTGCATCCTTGGCAAGACCATCAGGGGACAAAATTCGGAGGGGGGGGCAGTGATCATTTCTCATCAATCTTTTACCTCCTGTGCAATGCCTCCTGAACAGTCTGCCTGAAGTACTATAAATATTAAATGGACATCATCTCCTACCACCTCCAACCCACCTTCGTAAGAGATCTCATACTTAGTAAACACTTCCCTGATTTAAAGCTAATTAAAA